GTTCTTCAAGTCCGACTCCTCTACTGCTCTCCTCCTTCCAACATGCTCATTCATTTCATCTTGGGCAATTTTTAATACTCTTGGGTTGTTGAGCAACAAAGATAAAGCCCATGTTAACGTTACAGACGTTGTGTCCAAGCCCGCAGCTAAAACAGTCTGCAATTTTGAAGTTAAAACAAATTTCTTGTATTAGGTTTCAAGCAACATGTTAATGATTTTGAGCTTCCAAAATTCAATAAAAAATCATGTTTTCAAGTTGTTAGTATAACGTTTTTGAGAGGTGATAATATTTTTGTTTTTAGCTTGTAAAATTATGTTATAGATAACTATTTTTAACCTAAAAAATAGTTTCTTTAAGACCAAACACTAAAATCTTTTAGCCCAATAAAAAAATATCCCAAAACCAATCTTTGGCGGGGTTGGGGGAGGGGAGGTTGGAAATTTTGGGGGTGGGGCCGGGCCGGGTGAACGGAGATATTTCGGGGTGGGGCGTGGTTTGCAAATTAATATTATAATGAATGTGGAAGAAACTATAAACGATTAACAAACTTTAGTAACAGTAGTCGTATAGCATCCGTGATGTATAAGACCAAATAATGATGATGAGATAAAGATTAGGTTTACCAAACATGCAGCCTTGATTATGGTATCATGGTCAAAACCACGGAATTCCTCTTGGGAGGCACCTTCAAGAGCGGAAATCAGAACATCCATGAAGACTTGGCTTCTTTCATGTTGCTGCTTTTCCTCCGCCCTCAATCTCTTGTGATCCTCTAGCCATCCTGTAACAATTTCATACATCTCTTCTCCTGTCATCTTCATTTTTTTCTCGTATCCTCCCAGGTCCAAAGGCTTCAGATATGGAATAAAATCAGACACCACAAATGTGCCCAATAACACAAAGAATTTCCTTATCACTTTTTGAAATCGAACCCCTTCTTTGTCATCAGGTGAAAACCTTTTTCCTGAAACAACCCTGACGACAACATTTAATATCAAGTTCTGAAACCATTGTTTCATATCCACCTTTACCATGTCGGAACTTCCATTTTCTTTATTCTTTACCCAAGCGTTATATATATCTTCCATGGATGCTTTAACCTCTGAAGCACGAAGAGGTCCAAGCATCTCCACTCGTCTCTGAGAGAGAACCTCAAGCGTCATGATCTTGCGCACTTGTCGCCAGTAGTCCCCATAAGGAGCTAGAGCCAAGATGGCATAGTTATAGCCCATGTGTTCTACTGCCATTGACTTGGGTCGACTTGCCAAGACCTTATCGTTTGTCGTAAAGCACTCTTTGGCTATGTCCGCATTACTCACCACCAAAACATTGTGAACACCAAGCTTGATGGTGAAGATAGGGCCATATTTATCTGCCATGCCACCTAAGACCCTGTGAGTTAATTCAGGTCCACCAAGAAGGCGCAGGTGTCCTATCACCGGCCATCGGCCCTTTGCTTGAGGTGGTTCTGTGTTTTTCACTCTCTTTCCTTTAAAGCTTTGCAGAAGGAATTTTAGTAGAAAAGAAAAAACAATTGCTGCGATAGTCGCTGAAAATGGGAGAAACAACTCCATGTTTTCTACGTCCAGAAAGAATTATGAAAATGATGATAGATAGGTTTCATTATATAGAGATGGAACTCCCTATATATATATATATATATATATATATATATATATATATATATATATATATATATATATATATATATATATATATATATATAATGAAAAGGTCAATAAAGTGGGCTGAAAAGTTTGTTAGAGACAATTGTTTTATTAAACTTAATGAACATATAGCATCTAAGAAAGAAAACTAATTTAAGAATGATATTTACAAATTTCATATATTCGGAAATTACTTCTTAAAATGGTATATTGATGATCGGCACCAAATCTTGTTTTTTGGGAACACGACAATTTTATAAAAGAGAAGGGCATCAGCCATACTAATGAAAACGGAAGAAACAACGACATGTTTTATACGTCCAAAAAAAGTAAAGAAAGTGATGGTACATATGTTTCATTATATATATATATATATATATATATATATATATATATATATATATATATAGGAAAACTGAATATACCGTTAACGGTATATAACATTAGGTACTCATTTATTTAAAACTACGTAGTTTCGATTATTGGATTGATTTTCTGAAGAAAAAAAAATATAATTTCCATTATAATTTGCTATGTTTCCTAATTAGACTGGACTACTGATAACATCAACTCTCGTCGTCGTCCTTGATCGCCGGCTGCTAATCACAACGATTTCAATTCAAAGACAAAAACGATTTCAGAGAAATCGATTTCAAAAAAAATAATAAATAAAACAATCTATTGATTTCGAAATTCACCAATAACGATTTCATTCAAATTAGAATTCAATTCGTGGTGTCATTGATTTCATTCAAATTGGAATTCAATTCAGGGAGTCATTGATTTCATTCAAATTGGAGTTCAATTCATGGAGTTATTGAAATTGGGTTTGATCATACCTTCAAAAACTACAAATCCCAGTATCCCCTGTTTTTTCTTTCCAGAGCACTTCCAAGTAAGTCATTGATCTCGTGTTTTTAAGGCCTATGTTATGTGTATCTGATTAGTAAGTATCAGTAGTATGAATTAATTGTGAAGTTTCAAAGTTTGAGTTTTTATTATCAATCGGAATCGGTTGTAATTTATTTTAATGAATGTTTTTTTTAAAGAATTGTTTGAGCTTTGGATGAGCTCTTTGACACCTACATTAAATCTGATGAATCTTTATTACCAGATGAATCTTTATTTGTTCATGGATTTTAAAAAGTGACATTGTTGTTTTTAGACATTGCCATTATATTCAATATAAAGCATATAATGTTTTAAGGCCTGTGTAATTGTGTTTTTTTACATATAATGTTTCCATTATATTCAATATAAAACAATTTTGTGTTAATCTTTTATTTGGAAATATGCATCGTTGTCTATTGCATGCCATAATGAGTGAAGTCGAAGCAAGTAATCAAGCTATAGAACCATATATAACCGAAGATATTGACACAAATGATTATGTGGAAGCAACATATGAATGTGAAAATATAAACAATATCGGTGTGAACATTGAATTTGATGAAGATGATGTTAATGATGTTAATGATGAAAGGATATTGGGAAAGATTTTTTATACACCCGATGATGCCTATTCATTTTATAATGATTATTCATTTATGCATGACTTTGATATACGTAGAGATGAAACAATTAAAAATCCTAAAACAAATGACCCTTTTTCGGAAGACATATGTATGCAACAAAGAAGGCTTCAAAAGGATGGACAAAGATGCTTCAAGTGAAAATGAGAAAAAAAAATGTCGTAAAGATGTTAGAACCGGATGTCAAGCAAAGCTCGAATAACAAGACAGGAGGATGGGAAATGGTTCTGTGTTTTTCACTCTCTTTCTTTTAAAGCTTTGCACAGGAATTTTAGTAGAAAATAAAAAACAATTGTTGCTATAGTCGCTGAAAATGGGAGAAACAACTCCATGTTTTCTACATCCAGAAAGAATTATGAAAATGATGATCGATAGGTTTCATAATATATAGAGATGGAACTCCCTAAACGTGTGTGTGTGTGTGTGTGTATATATATATATATATATATAGAGAGAGAGAGAGAGAGAGAGAGATAGGTTCATGTATCTAAAGTAATTATTGTGTTATTGTATGTATCAATGTGGGCCAATCAATTTTTAAGAAATATTAAATAATTAATAAATTGTTTAAGGGGTATAATAGTAACTTGAACAATTTTATTTTTAGGAAATATTGAAAACATTTAATATCCCTTTGAATTAGGAATTTAGATTAAAACCCTACAATATATCTCCGCCTCATCCCTCACCATCATCTCGTTAACCATCACTTCCTGTTAGAGTCGCGCTGTAATCATAGGGAAGATGAAGATGAGTATGAAGACATGGATGAGTATGAAGACATGGATGAGAAAACCAGTGCTAGTGTTGCTTTTTGTAACGGTTCTTGCCCCCATTGTTCTTTACACTGATAGACCCGCTACATTTTCTTCATTTTGTAATTCCCCTCTCTTCCTCTCAGATCCTCTTCTTCTTCTATAAAACCATCAAATCTGCGTTGTCTAATCCGTTTTTGTCTTCTTCTTCTAGCTATAGATGAATACGTTTCGGGGCCTTCAACACTTGTAAGTCCTTCGCTCCTCATTTTGCAATCTCATCGATCTGAAATCAATTGTTTGTAATTTCTTTTAAATTTATCTATTTTTGCCTCAGTCGCTGAATCGTAATGTCAGGCACCCAAATTTACTTCCTCAGGTAGGTAACATCACCAATTCGCTTTCTAAATTCGGATACTTGGAAGCGTATTCATTTCTCCAATCATTCAATTCATGTTTTCAGGAGTTATCTGCAGCAAAAGAAGAAACATCGAGTGATGTTTATTTGGTAAAAGCGACTAGATCTATTCAAATTATTGATGATGAAATGTCCAGGAAAACTAGACAGCTTATACGTTTCGGGGCCTTCAACACTTGTAAGTCCTTCGCTCCTCATTTTGCAATCTCATCGATCTGAAATCAATTGTTTGTAATTTCTTTTAAATTTATCTATTTTTGCCTCAGTCGCTGAATCGTAATGTCAGGCACCCAAATTTACTTCCTCAGGTAGGTAACATCACCAATTCGCTTTCTAAATTCGGATACTTGGAAGCGTATTCATTTCTCCAATCATTCAATTCATGTTTTCAGGAGTTATCTGCAGCAAAAGAAGAAACATCGAGTGATGTTTATTTGGTAAAAGCGACTAGATCTATTCAAATTCTTGATGATGAAAGGTGCAGGAAAACTAGACAGCTTAATGAAGGTTTATCTCCTTAATTTTTCACTCACCACTAACCTTAAGCCCTAATTTAAACACAATCATCTATGGTTCTCTTTTACACGAACAAATTTACAAAACACACAACGAAATTCAAGTTCTTTTATGATTTTTATCCACCCCACCATACGATTTCACGAAGCTGATCACAGTGACAACAGGCATGAATCGACTGAAAACCTGAAGTTGAAGGCGTCTGAGCATAAATTGTTATCCACTGAAGCTGTAAGGAAACTGCGTGCCATTATTCACTCTACAGAAGAACAGCTGGGGGTCCACAAGAAACAAGCCTTGTTTTTGACTCATTTAACTGCCAAAACTGTTCCAAAGGGTCTCCATTGTCTTCCGTTACGTCTTTCCACAGAATACAATTCTCTTTATTCTTCTGCTCAACAATTCTCAAATCAACAAAAACAATTCCCAAATCAACAAAAACTACATGACCCCAACCTCTTACAGCATTCTACTGGAATGGAATCTTGAATTATGATTCTGTCATAATAGATCTTGAAGATGAACATTGTATGGGATGAAGATGAAGAATGACCACCAATCTTCCAAAAACAATGGACTATTCTACCAAAATAATATACAATATAATGAAGAAAATATATGTAATAGTATATTCTGGTAGAATGATTTATATATTGTGTTTTTTAGTTATTAATAACTGTAACATTCTCATAGAATAGTATATTTTTTTTTTCTTTTCTAAGAATGTAATGAAATTTTTTTTAACTTGTATCCAAAATTATGTAATTCTTCAAGAAGTTCATTAAATCAAAATATATATTATGTCAGAATGTGTATTCTTCTATAGCTCAATCATATTTGTTATTTTTTTAATATATTGATAAACATATTCCGTTAGAATTTTCGAATTAGGAGAATTATCATCCATACAATCAGATTTTTAAAATTAATAGAATCTATTTTCCCTTAAAATATGCAATTTTTCTTTTTTAAATTTAAGTTAATTGACTAAAATACTCTCAGAATGAAATTAGATGGTATTTTTTAATTATATTATATTTAATAATATGTATTATTCACTTTCCTAAAATAAATAAAATGATTGGCTCATAATTATGCATACAATCACACAATACTTAGTTTGAATAGAATAACCTAAGTCTATATATATATATATATATATATATATATATATATATATATATATATATATATATATATATATATATATATATATATATATATATATATATATGAACAATGAAAAAGTGGGCTGAAAAGTTTGTTAGAGACAATTGTTTTATTAAACTTAATGAATATATAGCATCTAAGAAAGAAAACTAATTTAAGAACGATATTTACAAATTTCATATATTCGGAAATTACTTCTTAAAATGGTATATTGATGATCGGTACTAAATCTTGTTTTTTGGGAACACGACAATTTTATAAAAGAGAAGGGCATCAGCCATACTAATGAAAACCGAAGAAACAACTACATGTTTTCTACGTCCAAAAAAATTAAAGAAAGTGATGGTACATACGTTTCATAATAAATGAGTACATAATGTTCTATACCCTAAGGGTATATTCACTTTATATATATATATATATATATATATATATATATATATATATATATATATATATATATATATATATATATACTAGCCGTTTACCCGCGCTAAGCGTCGGGTGTGAATAATTTGTTTCGGTGATTTGTTTTTTTCGGCGAACATTGGTTAGTTTCAATTCAACGATTATTTTGCTTTAGAAATATGTTATATTAAAAATTAGTTTCACATCAATAATTTGTTTTCTTTCCGATGCACAATGTATTTTCTAATGTGTTTGTCGGGTTTGTATATGTTGAATATGTGTTTTTATATGTTTGTTTTGTCGTTACGAAAATAGATGACTTTCTAATTCATGATAATATATTTGTACAAAACATTTTTTTGTTTGTAAATTTAGAGGAAAAAAACATAGTTAAATGTATGTTATTATTTTTTTTAAAAATAAACATATGTGGTTTTTTCATTTTTAATATAATTAAAAAATGTATGTGGTTTTATTTGAAAAAAAAAATAACAAACTTTTAGTAGTTAATCATAAAATACTTTTGAAAAAAAATGTAAAATCTAAAGACCGAATTTGTACTTACCTTATAACATCTTATATATATGGATATAATGCTAATGTTTTAAATTTAGAATAATTTCATTTTATATTGCATATGATATGTATATTAGTTTTTGTTATAGATTCAATTTTATTAGAGTTATTTGTGGAATACACAAATCTAAAAAGAGTTATTTGCAAGTCAACTGAAAATAAAACCTATCATGTATTTGAATATGTTAAAATTTTATGTACTTTCAATAAATATACAACATTGAAAATATTCTGTTCTGGATACATGAAACTGTAGAAATGATAACATACATGAAAGTGATGAAACTTTTATTAATATAAGCAATGAACGTCAAGTTTGCCCAAAATAGCAATCACCGTACTGCCAAATTTATCCTCAACATTATTAATTTGACCCTTCATTCGTTTCATAGTTTTCTTTCTTTGACTTTCCCTCCACTTGTGTCTTAAAAAACATACCAAATATCAACTTGGAGTTTAATAAAAATAGTCAAAACCAGACATAATAAAACAAACCACATAATCCTATGGGATCTGATTTTTCCAAGGATTATTTTGACAGTTCCACTAAATATTAAAATGTATTGACTATTATACCCTCATCCTATTGAATTAATGTAAGAATAAATAATGAATTGGCTGATATTTCTACAGAATATTTAAATGACTTAAATGAGATTTTATCAACTTTTACGTGGATTATAGCCATTAAGCCATATACCCAGATTTGTTTTCCAAAAACGCAAGCACGACCAGGCCTTAGAACTCCACAAAACGCATGATGAGAACTTCTTCAGCAGATGTCGACTATCAAATTTACAAATCAACAAAATAAGATGCCCATAGTTAATTGATATCACCTTATATGGTTAACAAAATTAATAAGTCTTCAAATCACAAAGGAAGGATAATAAAACTTACAGTGCATCACAGGCCCCACTGCAAGTGGCGGACCTAAAAAAACTTATTTGAATAATATCAATCACACATAACTAATCAAAGGTTTCAAACAAAAAACTTCAACGTTTCTCCATACATTTCACACCATCATGCATATTTACCAAGGTTCTAAAAAGTTTGCCATGGCTCCAAGGCTTGTATGTGCCGCCAAGCTTTACCAAAACGCCGCCTTGACTCGTATATGTGTATAATAATGAATAATGGTAGAAAACACATATAAAAATATGAATTATATACAAAATTGCCGCCTTAAGTCACGCCTTACAAATGACGTGGCTCGTCAAGGCTTGGAAAAGCTTGAGGCTTGACATTGCGTCCAAATCACGCCTTACGTTATTTACAACCTTGATATTTACTGAATATTTGATTTTCAACAATATTTACAAGACTTTGAGTTTCTTACCTTAAAAGAGCATTAATCAATTACCAATACTTTACACTTCTAATTCTGTTAAAGTCATGTGGTACCTCTACGTTTAAACTTGAATTGGTCCGGTTTCAAAATATGTAAAAGAATTACAAACTATGAGACATCTTCAATTTAATCTCCATTGAATATCTATTATTTATTTTGATATTTGACACATATAAATTCAAAGCTTTTGAATTTGAGAGCTTGTTATACCTCATAAAAATATGAATTACAAACAATCACCACCCAGTAGAACACCCGATGACAAAAACAGTCTCCCATACATAATACTAACATCACTGCCCAACAGAACCAACCTCCTCCTCCACTAAACCTAGAAAATCACTGTACACAAAAAAACGATTATAAATTTCATTTTATAATTATCTGTTAAAGCATGGAGATTGACATAATAAAGATAATATAAAGCTATACAAAATATAGATCTTCTTTGGTCCTGAGTTTCTCTAACTGTGTTCTTTGTTGAAAAATAAGATATGCAAACACCAAAGGACCACTGTTTTTAGGGTGAGACATAACTATTTTGACTTGCAACTAAAAACGAAAACAAAAAATAAATTTATTTTATAAGCATTTCAACCTGCTGGATATTCACAAAATAAAGAAAATATAAAGCTAAACTACACAGATCTGCTTCGTTTCTCGATTTCTCTAGCCATTTTTAGATTCAGAAAGAATATATATATATATATATATATATATATATATATATATATATATATATATATATATATATATATATATATATATAAGCCTCATGGATCGAGAGAGGAAGAGAGATGATGATAGAGAGTTGGTCTGGAAGTGACGATAGTGGTGGATAATCGCCAGGGCGGCGGCGGTGTGATGAGATAGTACATCAAAGTAAAGCTTGGTGGTGAAGGGAAATGATCGAATCTTGGAAGAAATAAATGTAGAGAATCGAAAAAAGCTGAATTTCAAGGGTAGGAGCTTACGTGTTGGTCTTGACTTTATCTCAGATTGAAAATCATTGCATTAATCCAAGATTAGTTAGATAGATGTTCTAAAACCCGAAGAACTGATAAAGCAACATTAATACCGACTATAGTCTTGAAGCCACCTTGTACCATCTGTAATGCAGGAAATCCCCAATCATACTTGCAAGTTCAGAAACAGAGAATATAAACAAAACTTACCATTAGATCGAAGAGAGAGAAATAGGATTTCATCTACATCGAGAAAGAACTTGCCATTAAATCAAGAAACCAAACCTTAAAAGGGGGAGAGAGGAACCCTAAGTTTTAGATTGAGATTATGATATCAAACACTAATTCCTAATATTTATTCATTGTACTCGGTGAAGAAGCATCATTCTCAAGCAATTTTGATTTACAACAAAGCCAGCTAATCGGAACCCTTCAAACAACAAAACAAGTAAATATAAACGCTCAAACAAAAAGAGAAAGTTGCACAACAAAAAGAAGATATAAAAATGACAAAATTAAACAACAAAAGAAAACATATAAATCGAAAATAAATATTATTAGCAGCCATACCTCGTGATGGTGCAATAATCCCCAATTGAGAGAGAGAGAGAGAGAGAGAACCATTGTCCAATTTGAATAAGGTTGATAGCCATTGATGTAAAGGTGGTGCTATTTAGATCTGCATATCAACACAACGATAAAAGTTCACCATTTATAGGATTCGAAAAACACGTAAACATAGTTAAGCACACATACATGATTTAAAGATAGAAACCTACATGTAGTGAAAGGGATGGTTATGGTTTGTAGGGAAAGACGAAGGAGAAATTGATATATGGTTCATTCGGTTAAAATCTGGGCTTTGTTGTAGGCTTCTTGATAGACATCGGAGGAGTAGCGATTGGTTGTAGAGATGAGAGTGATGGTGTTTGTTAGTGACGATGAGTGATGGTGTGTCTTTTAGATTAAAGGGTTTATCGAGAGATAGAGATAGAGATGACTTGTGGTGGGGTTTC